CATATACATTATATAATATTATGTATAATATTGTTTTAAAAATAAAACACATCTAATATTCTAAAGCATTTATAGGTTTGGGAATATTTTAATTAAAATATAAAATATTTAAAATATTAAATAATTTAAGCGCTATAATACATATTATTGTATCTATATAATATTAAATATGATGTTTAATATTGTACACCATCATATTTATTTAATTTTGTGATAATGCATTAGTTCTAACAATGAAAATACTTCTAAAGCATTTATTAATCTTAGTTAATGTTAATTTCAACATTTAATACATTATTAAATCAGATGTATCTGTTAATATTATTTAATGGATTTGAGCTAATAGTGTTTTTAATAACTAACGTTAATGAACATTAATAAATACTGTAACAAAAATATTGCTCGCTGTTAATTAATGCATTACTAATGGGACCTTATTGTAAAGTGTTACCAAATTTCATATATTTATTTTGTTATAATTATGTTCTAGAATCTAGATCATTTGTTTAGGAATTAATGTATGTGTCTTTAACTGCAGACAACGTCATCTGTTCAAAACTCTCCCAACAATATGACTGTATCTCAGAGGAATTATATTTGCTGGCTTAATGAATATTCACAGAAGAGCAAGTTATTTTTCAAGGCTCATGAATCCAGATCCGTAATGGATCCAGGAAGCACTCAGTGAGTATTTAAACATTTGCACACATGCCTGTTCTTCTGATTTACACCGTCCTGCTGAGAAAAGATAGAAAAGTACAGTACCTTTAAAATTAAAATGTGCATGAACTGCAAAATAAATTCCAGCCCCTTGCAAGAAATAACAGTGGATTCTCTCTTATCTCTTTTGCAGATTGTGTACTTATGTCTGTAAGTATGTTTGCGGTGATAGAGAGTTTCCTGAGGCTTATGGAAAAAATAAGAAGGACGCTAAAGAAGCAGCGGCAACCCGTGTTTACGAAGAGCTGAACAAAACACAAAATGCAGAGGTAGCACAGCTTTTATCAACTTGGACTGTCTAATGCTCTAATCTATTTTTTATTTTGACTTTTTTTTTTTTTTTTTTGCATTTAAGGTCTTCGATGACGACAGCAATGGATCACAGAAGTCAGAGGTTGCGTCTCGTAGGTAAATGATAATAAACAACATCATGACTGACAGTAGATTACTTATATTTGAAAATGTGCTCACTCTCAGGCCGTCCGAGTTTGTTTCTTCATCAGATTTGGAGAAATGTAGCATTGCATCACTTGCTCTGCAGTGAATGGGTGCCGTCAGAATAAGAGCTGATAAAAACATCACAAGTAATCCACAGCACTCCAGTCCATCAGTTAACATCTGGAGAAGACAAAAGCTGAAACTAATCCATCATTAAGACGTTTTTAACTAAAACACGAGTCCATAATCCATAATAACTCTTCCTCCAGTGAAAAAGTGCATCTGCTGTTGTCTCTAGAACCTCTAAAATCCAGCCACATATTTGTTTAGAGCTGTTTAAACGCTGCTTGATCTGTGCAGATTTCTCTCCTGATTCAGACCAGACCACTTTTTCACTGGAGGAAGCGTTATTATGGATTATAAACTCAATGCATTTGAGTTAAAAACGTCTTAATGCTGGATTTGTTTCAGCTTTTGTCTTCTCCAGATGTTAACTGATGGACTGAAGTGCTGTGGATTACTTGTGGATTATTGTGATGTTTTTATCAGCTGTTTGGACTCTCATTCTGACGGCACCCATTCTTATTATGGATTATAAACTCAATGCATTTGAGTTAAAAACGTCTTAATGCTGGATTTGTTTCAGCTTTTGTCTTCTCCAGATGTTAACTGATGGACTGGAGTGCTGTGGATTACTTGTGGATTATTGTGATGTTTTTATCAGCTCTCATTCTGACGGCACCCATTCACTGCAGAGCAAGTGATGCAATGCTACATTTCTCCTATTCCTTTAATAGGTTCTTTTACCATACTGTATATTCTGCACACGTTAAGTTTTGACATCTTGTCTTTTGTATTTAAGTGCTAGCCTGGATCGTGTCAGCTTGAGTTTTGCTGATGAATCTCGAAGCGTCACGCCTGACGGCAACTACATAGCACTTCTCAATAACTACTGCCAGAAACATAATCGTGCGTTTGATTTCAAATTAGTGGAGAAACGAGGCCCTCCTCACAACCCAGAGTAAGTCTTGAACAGGCCATAACTCTGCAGATTGGTTTGAGTTAGAAAAGAAAAACTGAAATCTTCTGTTTCAGGTTTGTATATAAAGTTATCATAAAGGGGAAGGAATACCCTGAAGGACAAGGAAAGAGCACAAAAGAGGCGAAGCAACATGCTGCTCAGTACGCTTGGAGTGAAATTAATGAGCAATCTGGATGGACCACACAGGCAGGACGCTTCAGAAATACAGCGATGTTTATGGTCTAGATGTTAACCATGTCATGTTTAGTAATGCACATGCATGTTTGTAATTAACAGAGTTCTGAAAATGACAGCTCTTCACAAACTCAAGAGACATCGTAAGCTGAAATGAACAATGCATCTTTATATCTTTATCTATTATATGCATGCTGTGCATATAAAGATGCATTGAAATTTACAGTTTATCTGTTTGATAGTAAATCTCAGGATGCACAACACTCCTCAAAAAGCTCGTCTGAAACTCCCAGCACAAGTTCTTCTATTGTCTCCAAAGACTCATCTGCTGTTAGTTCTCTTATGGTCATAAGTCCTGTAAGTCCAGTCTGCGTTATTGGTAGCGTTTGCATTTTTAACTTA